GGGGGAGTTGATTTATTAAGTACAGCTCTGCTTTATGGCGGCATTGAAATTAAAATTGTGTGAATGTTGCCAGTTTTATTTATTTGTATTATTTTCAACTCGACCTTGCGCAGCTTAACAAGCGTTTCGAGCACGGTGCGTTCTGATGTCATCCCAGAATAAATCTGTTCACTTGATATATTTTATTCACTCGAAATGATTTGCATTCTCGCAATTTGTGCATTGCGTAAATGTTGCCAAAAAATAATCTGAGCCAACTATTTCTCTAAGCTTATAAAGTTTCTCGCTTTGTAAATTTGATAATATATATTTTATATTCGTATGTATGTATACAGTATTTATTTTCTGCTACGAACTTTGCTGTAAGAATGCAAGTTATATTTGCATTTACCTCTATAACGAGAGTATGAGAATAAATACACCTTGGGTTTTGTATTTTATTATAAATAAAATGTATACTCTCACAATTTTATTTTCAGCAATGCAAATAAACCAAGTCTCGAATTAAATAACAACGTAAAATGCGTCACGTAGTGATTTTCACGTAATGTATATTATAATATTACTGCTTGTTAAAAACAATGAAGTTATTACAACGAAAAAAATATTAACTTAAATAAGCTTTATTCCAGATAGAACAGGAATTAAGTGCTTAATAACTTATAAACTTGTAACGCGTGACTATTTCTTTATTATAAATTAAAAATCTGTTTTTGCTAGTTCCTGTATTTTAATTAACTGAGGATTCTCTTGTTGTTTTGTATATTAAATATGTGGCGCTTGAGTTGAACATATATTCAATCCCAAGGTCTTAACTTGGTTTATTTATAAAAATCGTTGTTGTTAGCTTTAAGTGCTCTCTAATTGTAAATGTCGTCTGTCGCCTATTTGGTTTATTTGGAAAATCATATGAATTTACAATGACCATCTTCCGACGACCTTCAAGCCAACCAAGGCATTGGGCAGATGCAATGCAGCCTGAGTAAATGTCAGCCTTGTCACAGTTGCTACCTTTTTTACACACAGTCTCCCTCTTTCGCTCTCTTCTATTCTCTCTAAATAAAATAGCCAAAAAACATGGTAAGCAGCTGTGGCACCTATTTAGATGTTCTAAATGACACTGGAGAGGCGTGAGAATGCTCAGAATTATTGGCACTGGCAACAGGCGGCCCGAAAAAAGATATATGTACAGTGAAAGTTTAACTATCGGACAGCTCCCTTGGGCAAATAAATATTGCAAGAAGCGAATTTTTTCAGACCTTACAAGGATAATCCATTAACTTGAGAGAAAAGAAAAATTTTATAAACTCGAGTCAATCGACTAATCAAAAAAAAGAAAATCTTTTAAACAACAATTTATTATTTATAATTATTTAGATTGTTGTAAATATTGTTTGTAAATATTTATAAATTTATTTTGAATAAAATTTATTGATGAATAAATGGCGTAAAAAGGCATTATTAGTTGATTACAATTAAATTTGTCGCTTTTTCCCCGTACTCTTGTAATCTCTTCGACATCTCTATTGAAAATTGCTCAAGAGAGCTTTCACTGTACAGTAATCAGGTAGCTACCAGGACGACCTTCGCAGCGCAGCGAAATATGTAAAACTTTACCATCTATTCGCAGTGTGTGGGTAGGGGAGGTAAGTGGGGCTCGTTGGGGATGTGATGCGCTGCTGTTTGCCAACAAAGAGCATGCAAAATCATCAGGCAGATAAAAAGCCATAAAAATAGTACAACATGTAGGTGTAGCAGTAGCAGTAGCAGCCGTAGCAGCAGCCGTAGCAGTAGCAGCAACACGGAAACAAATAAAAATCAACAGGATTAAATATGCAGGCGTGCCTGGCTTTATCTCTCGCTCTTTTACAAAACACATCTCCTTCTCTCTTGCTCGCTAGCTCGCTTGGCGAGCTTTGCCCGGGGCTCGTTTAACAGCCCCGTCCGGCCTTTGTTCGGCTCCGGCTAAAGCTAAGGCTCCGGCTACGGCTACGGCTACGGATACGGATACGGGTATGGCCCTGCTTCTAGACGCCTTGGCGCTGGCCAATCTGTAACATTTTGTCATGGATTTTTATGCAGTGTTGTCGTCGGCGGCGCCTCGTGTGTCCGTGTCCGTGTCCAAGTCCATGTCCTTCGCACGTTTTACCTTGAGCGCACCTCAGGCAAATTCAACAAGTTACAGTAAGGCAAATTGCAGTGCGCTACTTGAGAAATACCCTGTATTTTAATTAAAAATGTGCTGAATATATCTGCTGATTCGGTTTAAGATTAAAATGTATTTTTATGATACATTCAAAGGGACTATATTTATTTCGTTAGCTAATAATCACTGCTTCGAACGCACTTCAATCCCTACATTATTTTATGCATCATTATTTACTTTTTTGCTTGTTTCCATTTAAGAAAAGAGAGCAGCTCTTCTTAGACAGCCTCTTTCAGACAGAAACTTCCGTGTTCCAGCCCAGCTAGCCTTTCAGTTACGGGATATATCCCACATACACCCCGCACATTTCTATGTGCCTGCCTGTCTTTGCGTTTAAAATTTATTTCTCACGTTTCGCTCGGTTTGGCAAAAAGACATTTGCGGAAATGGGCCACGTTTTGCCCGGTCGGGCGTCAAATGAGTTGGCACGGCCGCCATTTTATCAGCCCGTGGCCATTTGACAGGACCAGGCCAGCATTTAGAGAGATGGGGATGCGGCACTGCCAAACACACACAATTATACATATATATAAATACATATATATATATATGTATATTTAATATTAAAACCGCCAGCGGCGTTTCACAATTAGAGCTGAGCGAATGAGACAGAGAATAAAAAAGGCGCGCAATTCATGCAGCTGCAACTTGAGTCGTAATTGTGGCACATCAATTGAAAGTCGAGTCGTCGTCGCCGTCGTCGTCTTCTTCTTCCTCTGTCGCTTTGAACACAAAATGGAAACGTTTCCTGCGCATAAATTCAATTTAAGCCACATGCTACATGCCACATGCCGCATTCCAAAGAGACGCACATGAAACGCTTTCGACTGCCTGCAACTTGCATAATTCATTCGCTTTGCCAATCGAAATTCACACATACACACACACCCTTTAGGTGGCATGCTCTGTGGTGGCTTGACTTATTCAAGTATCTGGCACGTGTCGCAAGTCCAGGTCTCCCCCCCGGCCCAAGCTGTCAGATACAATTTCCCCAAAGCGACATAACCGTATTAGAAGTTTGCTTTAGCTCAACAGGGCGTATGCGTAATATGTGCTGCATGTTGCTGCAATTCCCACACTGTGGCAGCTGCATTTGGCAAGCTTGATCATCAGCCAGTTGATAATTGGCCACTGAATTAGTTACGCGGCATTCAATTAGGTAAATATTCAACATAAGCTGCGTAATGGAGTGCAAATGTTGTTAGTTATTCGCTAATGGTAATTCGCAGCCTGACTAAACAAAATTAAACTAAATAGCTCAAATTTGTTGTTGTTACAAAAAAATTAGCTGAACACAAGCAAAAAGAAGCAGAATATTTTCACATAACAGATGTACGCAGTATTTTAATAATTCGATTTTCTCTGTTAATATTGTTAGAGTATTGAATTTTGAGACGCTTATATCGGACAGACTAATCGGGAATATATACTTTAAGCCAACAGAAATATTCCATTCATTTATTGCGAAGGCTATGAATATTTGCATCTGACCTTGCCGCATTTCCAGAACTTTTGTTTTTTTTTGGTGCTTAGATAATAATTTTCTTTGGACTTGGATTTAGATAAGTCTCAAAAACTTCACAGATTCGTAATTTTCATCACAAAATTTTACAATAGCCTGTCTCTTATGCCAATTTGAGCTTTCATACAGTAGAGGATTATCAATTGCATCGCTTTTCAATTAAGCCGCAAGCTCTCTTAGCACGAACCAACCTAAAACCCACAAATTCTATGTCCTTGTACATCTCCCTCTCTCTTACTCTGTTGTCTCTCACTCTTTCTCTCTGTGGGCTTATCAATATCCATAGACGCTTAGATAAGCCTGTGTAAAACCTTGGCGCATTGTGAGTGTTTAGTTAAATGTAGAACTTTTGTTTGGTATTCCATTTGTCCGTAGGCGTTGTAATTAAAACTGAATGCAACATGCTGCTCGCTGACTCTACACTCCGAGAAAAAAGAGGCCTTAATCGTACGTGAAAAAAATGTATACACTCTTTATGTTTAAAGTTATAAGTAAATTTCAGTCATATATATTATATTATAATTGATGAATTAAACTTGATTTTAATGATTTTATAATTCTTAAATAAGTATGCAATACTAATTACAAGAATTAAATTCTTGATATAAATAATCCAAACTTCTTAGTTTAACCACTTTGATCTCGTATTTAGAAAGAATGGTGTTAATTGTTTTTTTAATAAAGGACTCAAAATTTTTACCTTGTATTTAGAGATTATGGGATTAAACATTTTGTTTAAATACAGAATAAGATATTTTGACCTTGTCTAAATGTCGTTGATTTGAGTAGAACATTTCTGATAAATTCTCTGAGTGTATGTCCTTCGGTTGCCCAGAACAATAGAGACAAGAGCTCAAGTACATAAGTTAATTAAATATCTGACAATACGTAGCTCAGTCCGAATAACTCAAACGTGAGCGCAAAATATTTGTGAGTGTGTGTGTGTGGGATTTAAAGAGTGTATTTTCTAGGAACTGCAATCGAAACCACCTGGTTGCCGTGGTAGTGTGTGGGCGTGGCGAAATTTGTAGCTTTTTACGCGCTATTTAACGCCATAGCGTCAAATTTATATTGCAGGTACAGCCACAGCTTTAGCACAGGCAAAAAACGCGCGCGCGCACGATTTCATTTCGCATATCAATCATACGCACCGTTTGCCCCGTGCAAGAAATGCTTCAAGTCATTTGACAAGGACTTTGACTGTGACTCTGTTGTCGCTGTTGACACCGCCGACAGCACAATTTAAGGTAGATTTATCAAAATGCTTCACTTACAGTTTCAATTGGCTTGATTCTGATTCCTGTCTTCAGCTGCGTCCTTTTTGCGCTGCCTGCCAAAAGTTCTGTAAGTAAAAGAAAACAACAGATTTACATAAATTGTTTCAACATCATTTAATTTTGTCAATTACGAAATTGAATGAGTATTAAATGCTGCAGAAAGTTCAGCTTAGGTACGAGCATTGAATATTTGAGATCAAAAAGGTTTATCGATGTGAACAAGCTGTGACTTTTGCTAATTTTGTGCGTTGTATTTGAGAATTGTATATGTTGTCAGCAGTCTGGAATTTGCGAAATTTATTAGCAACAAAGTGCGCCTACATTTCTCTTTTAAATTAATCTATTTACAAACATTAGGAATCACAAAAGCTAACTAAATTATCACCAATTCGTATTCATAACCAATAAGCTGTTATAACATTGATTTGTAGATTTCCTAGGTTGATCTAATCTCGAAGAATACAGGAATTAATTTATTAGAACATATTTGTATAACCAGATCAAGGCTGATTAAAAAAAACTCTCTATTTGGCAGCATAAATACCCTATAAGTCATAAAATTCTTTTTACGGCAACTACATTTAAATATATGTATATATCCATTTTTTCAGCATAAGAGACTGTCAAAATATTTAAGCACTGATTAAATACACTTCATTTGCTACGCAAAAGGACTGAACAAATGTGATGGTAAATATTTTTATTTATTTTTTTTTACACTTATTTTCTCATATTAAGTAAACAAAGAAACGAGGGCGGCTGTAAATAAAAATAAATAATATAATAAAGCGTAGAGGGCTGCACAATAAAAGAAATATGTGCCAGGCCATTGCATTTGGACAAAAGGCTCAACATAATTTGCATGACAGGATTTGCGGAGGACGTTGGCCAGAAGCAGCAGCAACAGCAGCAGCAACAACAACAACGAACAACTGTCACAACAATGCCAGTTGCCATAAAATGAAAAATCCCCAACGAACTGCAAACAGCAGCAACCGCAGCAACAACAATAACAACATCTCGCAGTAACGACAACAAACAACAACAAGCGCAAACAACAGGCTGCGACAATTTTCGTGATTTATAGTGAGCTGCTCCTCGTTGCTGTTGTTGCTATTGTTGCTGCTGCTGTTGCTGGCAGTCGCAGTCTGGCGGCTTTCAGCTCCGGGCTGGGCTCCGGTTTGCAACTTGGTTAAGAGGTGTATTTCCTGGGCAAAGATGCGAGCCGAAGCAACAACCGAAACATCAACAGCAACAGAAACCAAAAGTAAGGATAATTTATTAGCCAAGCCGAGCCCAAGCCCAAGCCGAAGCAAACAACAATGCAGGCAACAATCTGATTAGGTTTCCTTCGTACTCCCTTTCAGGACAAGCTGCTTTGGTGTGTGCGTGCGACGGTGTAAAGCAAATTGAAAGGATTTAATGGCCACGTGTAGTCAAAAAAGATGCGCAAAACATGAATTACTCGATTAAGTCTACTCTCGTTTATTGATGGCTGCATAGCCCACAGGCACGGGGGATTTCTGTGTATTGACGTTTCCATTAGGAATATCAAAGTTGATCAGTGTGAAAGGGAGTATTAGAGTTAAAACAACAACAAAAGAAAATAGTAGTAGAAGTGGTAGCAGAAAATAAAGTGTCAGGCAGAAATAATAGTATAAATAAATATCATATGGAATTTGGAGTTGAAGTAGTAGCAGATAAAATTGTAGTAGTATAAAGAGTATTTGATGTAGAAAAAGTATTAGCAGATATAGAAAAAGTAATAGAAATTGCGTATTAACAGAAGTGGAAAGACAGCAATAGCAATAGAAGCAGAAGAAGCAGTTGCAACAGTGGTAGGGGTAGTAGAAGTAGAAGACTCAGTAATAAAAGAAGTAATAATAAAATAAAATAATATGAATGAAATTAACATAAATAATAGAAGTAACAAAAACAGGTATCGAAAAAGTCATGCAGTAAATGTGTTTTTAATTGTGGTTGGTAGTAGAATTATTAGTAGCAGTAGTAATAGGAGTAGTAGTAATAGTAGTAGCAGTAATAGTGGAAGTAGTAGTAGTAGTAGTAGATGTAAAAGTAGTAGTGGAAGTAGTAGTAGTAGTAGTAATAGTAGTAGTAGTAGTAGTAGTAGTAGTAGTAGTAGTAGTAGTAGTAGTAGTAGTAGTAGTAGTAGTAGTAGTAGTAGTAGTAAATGTAGCATTATTAGTAGTAGTAGTAAATGTAGCATTATTAGTAGTAGCAGCAAAAGCACAGCTGTAGTAGTAGTAAAAGTCAATAGACGTGGTAGCAGGGTTCCAAAAAAGGGGAGTTGTTGTACCAGTGGTAGTAGAAATCGTACTTATGAAGTAGTGGTAGAATTAGTAGATGTAGTGGAATAAGTGGAATTAGTAGTAGATGTCGTGGTAGAATAAGGAAGCAATAGCAGTACGAAAACTGTGAGTAGCAAAAGTACAAATATTATAAGAATTGAGAGTGATAACCAAGAAAGGGGATGACCCTCTAGAGGAAGTAAATATATAGTTGTATAATTTCTATAATTCCTTTGTGTGCTGATACTTGTATTGCACAAAAGAACAAAATGGGTAGATGTTTAGAGAGTGAACAATGCATTTCACAGTTATTCAATTGGCTTTGCATTCAAGAATAGTTTGAAGCGCATAAGATAACTTTTTGTAAAAGTTGCTACCTGTAACAGTTGGTATTTGTGCAACATTTCAAAGGCAAGGCTGCTGATGATGTGCATTATGTTTTGTTTTACGCAACGCACTCAACATAAGACGGCAATGTAAATATTCTGTAAGCAGTTACGAAGAGAAACCTAGGAAACAACTCCTACAGCCCTCCACTTCTGCCCACTCCTAGCTGCAAACGTAGGTCGTAATCCAATTCCATGAACTTGGCACTTGTTGTTATTCAATGCTTGGCCAGCTTTACGGCTAACAAATTGCACAACATTTGTAAGCTTTTAGCGCGTGGCCATTCTAAGTCGGGCGGGGTTCGGGGCTTGCGAGGGGGCAGGAGGTCAAAAGCAATTTAGTTGGCAACTTGTCTGCTTCGAGGGTTTTGGCACTTGGTAAAAGTTTTATGTGCTGCTCTTGCAGGATCAAAGTTATTGCATATCCCTTCGGCATAGACAAGTGCAAAAGCGAAACCAAAAGCAAGAGCAAAAGCAATCAGCATGCAAATTGCAGTTGGGGACAACCAATATATAAGGCCAGCTGCTGATGGACCAGAAAGCGATATAAGCTACTGAGACTGCAACCGAGACAGCGCGAAAAGTATGCAACAGTATGCGAAAACTATACCCTCAAATTAAAGTTGGATAGAAAGGGGTATTTGATAATACCTATGAACCCCATGAACCATTTTATACTCTTCTTTAACATACATTTTAGCTACCTTCCCCATCAAGGAACAATCGTTCTTTTTGGTATGTAGCCACATTAAAATACCATCTTTAAGAAATACAAATTTGACTACAACTCCGCAGTTACTAAAGAACTTATTTTCCATGGTGCAAAGCCTGGCCTAAGCTCTATGCTGAATACAGGGTATCTCCTCGCTATGTACGCTCGGCTAGAGCATTCGTGCTTGTTTTCAATTCCATTGTGTATTTGCGGGATCTTGAAATAGTTGCAATCGTGGCCCAAGCCGCACTCAATGACAAAAACAAAAGACTTGCCGGGCGTCAAGGACATCTGCGAGCCTGCGAACACATTTCAGGGTTGCCAACGCGTGCGAGACGAGGCTGCATTGATGCATTGAGGCCAGTCGCCCAGCCAGTCGACCAAGATTCTAAGGCCCGGGATGAGCGCCTGTGGCAAGGTCATTGCTGCCACAGACGCATAATTCCGATGGGGGCGAAATACTAAGGAAAAAGTTATTGAAATATGAACCGAACAACAATAATAATAATAACAGAAAAACTTTCCATTACAATAATACTTAATAACATTCATAATAATGATGGCACGCACAACAACTTGACCAAAAGACAAGAGGCACGCAATGCCAGGCACTGCGGCGTATACGTAACAAGGCAGCGTTTTTTGTTTCTCCAATTTATTTACAAATTGAAAGCAAATAAATAAGAGTGCTGTAGTCAAGTGCCCGACTAGGCTTTACCCTTCTTTAACTTAGAAATTATATAAATTCAAAAGAAGAGACTTTTAGCGCTTAAAATTGGTTTTCTTTTTTAATTTATTTATATTATTTTTGTATATATATATAGATTATAGCCAGCTGTTATATCCCGTCAGTATGCTTTTATGAATCGATAATTATCGATTGAAAGCAAATCGTAGAGATATCAAAATAAAAACTATGGACGGGTCAGAGTGGCCTTCATCTAACTGTTACACATTAGGTGACAACATTAAAATACTATCCCTCTCTCTCCGAGGGTATAACAGTCGCCCAAGACGCATATAAAGTAGGTCCCCCGGTACAGGTAAGAGACAGCAGGTAGCGGGTAGAAGATAAAACTTTACGAAAACTTGGCAGCACGTTTCGGTTACTTTGGTGGCCCCAGTTTGGCAGCCAATTATGACCAGGGTGTAACCAGTAGAAAGGTGTGTGTACACACACTTACACACACGCGCACACACGCGCATAAAGCGAGTACGAACATTAGATTCTATTGACGGCTTTGAAGTGAATGGTGGCCATTAGGTTGGGCAAACAGAATTGTAAAGAACTGTTTACCCAAACTTGTGTTGTTTGCCAACAATGTGAGCCGTGTGAATGCTTAGCAAATACAAATCATATTCGTTTATTATTCGTTAAATTCTCATGGTATGCAACTTCACAGACAGAGCAAATATTGCCTAATCGCCGTGGGATTTTTTGAACTAAATTGGAATTCTACGAACTTAAACTAAAATAAGTAAGAGGTTCTAGAGGGGACCTCCCGACTAGAGGATACCCTGAACCCTCTTATTTCAACACCAATTGAAGCTCGCGCTACGCGCTCGTTTGCTTTCGTAGTAATAAAGATAAGTTAAAAAAAAAAAGTTCCTTAGGAAGGGTTCGAGCCGCACTACTTACCGCCGCCTCTACCCAACAG